TGTAGTAATGACGTCCGTGCTCATGTTGGCTACCATCTTGTCATGACAAAGGGAACGTCCAACGACGAGAGTGCGTCGTGTACCGTGAGCGTGTGGCTCGACGCAGTAGGTGATGTTTTGCATCATGATGTGAAACCGACACAAGTGACAATTCTCAAAATTGATTATGATCTGTACGAGGCGGGCATCGAATACATCTTCGTGGCGAAGAAGACGAGTCCCCGCTTGAATGGTGATGTAATAAATTCCTCAACCACCTCACTAAAAAAAAAGACAAGAAGATTGACTTGTCACTATCTGTCAAAATTTATGGGGGGCGCACGGGTCTTTGGCGGGACAGAAGGCACGACGACCATGTCCGAGTTCTCGGCTTCTTCCGGGCTTGCAGAGCGCATGTAAACAAAGATGGGTCCTTTCATTTAATGTGAGCTCAACGTGCGATTGTTGGAACAATCCAAGCAATTTGTGATGATCATGTACAGTGCATGGTGCTTGATCACCATTTCTTTCTTTCGGTCAGATAGGATAGAATAGCAGTCTCCGTGTCTTAGCGATAAGCAAATAGAGTTTTTCATTCTCCTTCTATTCGCTATTCATGATGTGTCATGAATGCAAGTCATTTACATTATCGAAGAATTCTGTGCTTTTATGCTTGGACGCTGTGTTTTTCACTTTAGAATTCGCGGGTAAGGACCACGTATGATTTACAGGACAAGTCCGACTGGCCCGGAACCTTCGGCAAAGTCGCTAATGCTGGCGTCAAGGTAAAAGGCAAAGAAACGTTCACTCCGCTCCGCGCAGTCTAGAGAAGGCAGCGCAATGCGCAACACGTAAGGCAGCAGGGATCCGCAGGTTATTCCACGGAGAAAGGCGCATCGACACAGCTTGATCGCCTTCTCTCTCCTCACTAGCTATTACCCTTCTGAATACGCCCGAAGTCGCTGGCCTGTTCGCTCAACGAAAACTCCTTTCCCATGAAGCAAACTTCCCTAACACGTGCTGCCTTCGTTGGGATCCAGTATTGATTTATTACTGTAGGATCCACACCAACCAGATATTTCTTCGTCCAGTGGTGTCGTCTAGGCAAATCTGCACTATATCCACTTCACGCGTTTGACCCGAGAATCCGAGCAAGTCAAGCGCGTGGAAGAGTCCTAGACTTCCGTCATGATGGCTTGTTGGGACTGTACACAGTGGACTGTAATCGCCTCTCCTCGATTACGCGTTCCCTATGCCCTGTCCACAAACTGCTCCGAATGTGCGAACAGTCTAGCCATGCAGCCTGAGTGCCATCCAGCCTGAGTGCATAGCCTGAGTGCCATCCAGCCTGAGTGCCATCCCTCAAGCTAACCCCGGACTTGATTAACGAGGCACACGTGCACTACAACCTCCCCCCCTTCCCCCGTACATTCTGACGTATCGAGCTCGCAGAAGGAGACGGCAAGGACGGACATGGCCTTACCATGGTAGTGCTGGCAAATTTTAACGAGTGCTGGTGGAATCATGTGTTCTTTGATATCCTTACATGCAATGCGGCTGGAGTTTACCGGGGAATGAAAATCTGCCGCTACTTTGAGATGCACCGATTTAACTGGGTAGGCATTTGCAAAATTCCAAACTTTACGGGCAAGGCAAAGCAAGCGTTGGCGCAGCTACACCTGCTTACTGGATGGCATACGATTGGAAGATTGTTTGATCGGCCAAGCGCTTCTGGAGAGTGATGTCAGTGTCACGATTCTGTCGATCATGATGCTCAACAACAATCATTCTTTCTGAAGACGGTGCTGTAGGTGCCTGCAAGTAGCAACATTAACATTTATCACCTTGCGATCTGGTACTCGGCGGGAAGCTACGCGGAGGCAGAATTCTACAGTTTTGCTGACGGCTTACAAGATCGAACGAGCCTTCATGACTTGAGAAAAGCGTCATCGCTCATTCGTTATCAAGTTTATACTCAGCTGATACCACTTGCTCACGCGCCACTGGAAAGAAGCGTAATAGAAGTGCGCACGAATTTGTGAGGCAGTAGTTGTCCGAGCAAAAAACGCCACGACTTGTCCTTGTCTACAACAAGTGTTCTCAATACAAAATAAATTCGGAGAGCCAAATAATCTCGACAGTCGAATAGCATCGACACTCGTTACGTGATATAGTCTGTAAATGTCCTGTACAAAAAACAACGCCACTCAAGTTCATCAATGTCGAAAGCGGTTGTGTATCAAGAAATTCAAGAGGCCAAATTTGGGTTTGGTTGGACTGATGCCCGTGACATCGTGAAACCATTGGGCCTTGAACAAAATGACTGGGGGTTGTATCGCAGCCTTATGGAAAGCTCTTACAGTCTATTGTGTCATGTAGCACTTTGTTCGATCCGATGATTGACTGATTTTTTTATCTCAGTTTCAATGTGACGAGTTTTCAATGCTCGTATTTTTACACGGGTTCGATATGCTTGTCCGGTGCTCTCGTGAAGCTCACTTTACAAATTTAACACCCCATGTTGTTGAATATCTTCTGTTGGGCGTTGTCATAGTCTTCTACTAAAGAAATATGTTCAAAACATGCTCTTACCAAAGCTGTAAGGGATGGGTTTCAAAAAAATTGGCACGGCGCCGTGCAAGAGTAGGTCCTACAAGTTGTACCCAATGCATTGGTTCTGCGCTCTGTTATCTCGGCAATGATAGTAAAACAGCAGAGGATTCTCTGCTGGTTTGGTCACAGAAATCGTGAAGAGTTTAAAAAAACCTCGAGAGCCGAATACGGACAACCATTCTTCAACATTGTCAACGTCTGAGTTGGGCTAGCTTCAAGTAGTCTAGCAAGCATACACTCCATCTGTAATTTTATTGTGAGAGCACGCGTTCAAATGACGTATCGGCAGAACAGCATTGCGGGTCTGATTCGGTGACCTGCACATGTCGGCCATCACTACGTCGTTATCGCTGAAATCAAGATAGCACTAAGGCCGCCACAAAACTCGAAATATTCTTCACCACGATGTGCATGATCGTGCCACGCTGTTTGCACTAAAAGTGACAACGGCAATAGAGTGCCGCGAAGAGATCGGTAGCAGACAGAACGCTGTCAATCTGCTGTACACCATCCTGCAATACCTCTTCCGATGGACGTACGTGAAGCGAGAAAGTGCTAGCCTCTTCTGGTTGATTAAAAATGAAGCGGCGATGATCAATCACACATAGAGCTCAAACAAGTGCTGTAAAGCCTCCAGATCTCATCTTCGCTGTTACAGCAGCGAGCAGATTCTCAAATCCAGTTCGGGTAAGACCTCTCGCGCGCTCCATACATTCCAGACGCCCAGATGACGTCTGTGCGGCAACACTAAGGCCAACAATACCTTTATTAAATACGTCTGACTTGTTGCGACAACGTCAAACGAGGCGGTTAGCTGGTACGTTGGCGTCATGATGATATGCTAGCAGATCCGTTCACTAGATCTCAACAGATTTGCTGACTACCATCCCGAGATCCAAATGTCCATCACGGACAGATTTGTCTGTGTCGAACGGAGGCCAAGAGCCTTGGTTCATGGCATTACATGTACGTGTGTTGTACCATATTGGTGGTATCATCGTGATACGATGCTTGGAGGATGTGCATACGCGAGCCAAAAACACACACAGCGCCGGCTGGTATTCGTTGCCTCTAATGGATAGGCTTGCTAGCATTGCTGACTCATGAGGGGTGAGTCAGGACCGCACATCCTTGTCTTCGGCTCCCTGTACATGGTAGTATTTGTCGATAGAAACCGTCTACAATTTTTTATATGAATGGTACAATCAACTACTGACAACATTGTCGCGCACCGCGTTTCGTATCTATGTCCGACCAGCTTCTCTCAGTGAGTCTCACACTTATTGCCGTGTTGTCAACTATCGTTATTGGATAGGCCAAAGCTAGATAAACAAGCAAAGGTCATAAGATGCAGTTGTCGCCACCTGTTCATTATCGAAAAAGCAGCAAGCAGTGGCGGTGAGTCAAGCTCCGTGACGAGCTGTAAGATGCATATCGGGTCTACCAGCTGTGTTTAATGAATGTTAGACCGTCAAAAACAAGCGTTAAAAGCCAAGAGAAAAGTTTACATGTTCCCAAGTTGCTAAACTTCACACCATCGTTAGCACGTGTGTGCATAAAGAATGATGTTGAGATACAGATACGCTCATGGCAACTGTCCATGATAAGCGATTTGGCGAGGATACGCCACTGCTCATCGAGAATATAGAGAGCGGCTGGTGCCAGTGGACTTGACGCAGCAATCAAGAGCTGGAAAGATCCACGCACACGTTGCATAGCGATTGAGTGGTCATAGTCAAGTTTCAATCCGAAGCATTGTGGCTTGTCTTGCAAGTTTCCTACACAGTCACAACAACAAACTCGTTCATGTAGTGCGGTTATGAAGCGATGGCAAAGCACACGCGAGATGTTTCTAACTGCAATGTTGTGACGAACGATTCAACGGCAGTCTATGTACATGCATCTAGGTCGGATTCATACCCGAGCATACGAATGCTTTGTCGTCTGTTCTGCTTGACACCGTTGACAAGTGGCATCAAGCTCGTCAATATTCCTTACGTCCTTTACTACCTAATGCCTTCCATGTTGACGCGTACAACGCGAAAATTGTTGAGACACGACTAACTACTATTATGTCGCTCCTGGTTGGTCTTTCGTTGATAGTTCGTCCGTCACCTTTAGACGAAAAAGTCCCTATCCGCTTCGTGCAATAACAAGCTGTTTTTTCATAGCACATCGTCACTTCTTAAACTCTGTTGCACGCACCAGATGGCAGCTGCAAAACGAGGCTCCTAGGCTCCCCTCTCACTCTCGGCCGTCAGCCTTTCGGTGCAATTCGTAACATAAAAATCTGAGCTCCCCAGATAAGGTCTCAGCCGCCCCTTTTGGAGTCACTTTGAAATTTGACTTTGAGCTACCAAAGCGTGTCTGTGGCTGCAAAGAGCATTTGGCCTCCATTATCCTCGTCCATGGTGGTGCTGGACGCGTCTTCCTTCCCCATCCAAGGTCTGCCCGATACGCCGTTTTCGACCTTTACCGTTAACATCACGCCATCTCTGTCCTCGTATCACCTCTCTAGCATCGCCATAATGAACCAGGAAGAAACCACTAAAGACTCAAGCACTTCGGCCAACCAAGGATCGGAATACAAGTCCGCACTGTCCTTCATCCTGTCGTCCTTCGATTCGGAGTCCGAAGAAGACGAGTTTAAAGCCAGGACGCGAGACTCCATTAGCGAACCGACCAGAGCTAAATGTAGACGCAGCGTCAAGTCGGCCTCGATGTCCCCTATGGCTACGACAGCAGTTTTGGCTTTCAAACCAGCATCAAAGAAAGGCAGCAAATTTTGCTCCATTGAGGGTTGTATGAGTCGTGCCAAGCACGCTAAACGCTGCTGGAAACATGGTGGCTGGGTGCGCTGCAAGATGCCGGGCTGTAACAACCGTGCCAAGTCCAAGGGTGTTTGTTGGTCACATGGAGGAGGAACCGTGTGCTCTTTTGAAAGCTGCGATACCATCGCCGTGTCGAATGGTTTTTGCTGGGCCCATGGCGGCGGTAAGCGATGCCAGGTGCCCAACTGCTCCAAGCCGGCGTATGAGCGTACGCAGAACTACTGTCAGGCGCATTATGAGGAGATTGATGCTTCGACTGACTTCAAGATGAATGACATGTAGTAAGGTTCCAGCGTGTTGTGTTACGCTTAGCTTCAAATAGTATGTATAGAACTAAAAAGGAAGCAACACGCTCATTGTAACTCAATGAAAATCATTGTCCAGTCCGTCAGTATCATGCTATAGTATTGAGTCAGCACTGTCACTAACTTGAGATACATACGTTAAGCCTTTCACGCAAGCACTAAGGTTAGTGTCGGCTTGTCTGCTCCATATATATCATAAATTCCTGAGCTTAGTAGAGACTTTCATCGACATATGCTACGTACAGCAAAGAGTACCTCCTACTTCCTTTCAAGTGCTTTATGGACATGATACCATCCCACACCTTCTCCAGCTCCGATGCGCTCCGCACCGATAGCACGTAAACGCAAGAAAAAGCACAGCTCACACTTTCTACGTGAGTTGTTCCCTGTAGTAGTTAAAAACGTGTCTGCAACACGTATTGGCAAGCATGTACAAAGAAGTCTTGCACACCACATGCAAACGAGGAGCAGCGCAGCTTTAGCACAGCTGAAGAAAACGCCTGAAGCAGATCTCGCCATAGGTTCCTGTTTGTTGAAGTAGCCCTTTCTTCTCGTGTTGTGTGTCGCGTCATCCCGTAGAATAGCTCATTTAGCGCTGCTCCGTCGAGACTGTAGGACAACGAGAGGGCTATCGCAAACTGCAATGACAACCACGCGATGACATCTGCATCTGTGCCATTAAAATGCAAGGACAAATCTGTCGGTGCTGCGACAGAGCAAGCTAAGGTCGAGAGATAAGGCATCGTCACGACAATGCGCAGAACAATGTACATTGGCGTCGCATCGAAGTGTAAGAGCAAAGTGCGTCTCGCCTTGACTACATTTATTTAGTACTTTACATATCATGTGCGCTATAATCATTGCCGTCACCTCTACGCGAAGCTACAAATCTGTTGTCTAGTTGCTGACGACCTTCGGTGTCCTAGACTTTGGAATGCTTTACGGTTCGCGACACAGCTTGGTAACGATGTGATAAATTGTACTGCAGCAAGTTAACGTTCCACCAAGTCTTCGATGATACAAATGTGGGATCATGTTGCATGCGCAACGATAACTCGGAGCTCGGTTCATTGTAGACTCGCACCGAAAGCTTATTCCTATGCTTACTGTCGCTCACGCAATTGATGGACAATCCACATGACCTGATGGAATTCTAGAATGGGTCATCGCCTTATCGACGACCATTATGTGACTTGTCAAGTAGGACAAGGAAAAGCAATTCCGATCTTGAGGCGCTGAAGTGGAAAGACCGGAGTGGACGTGCACATCCTCTTCGTGTAAAAAAGAGGAGCTGGCTTGTGATGCCATCTACCAGCTGCATGATAGAGAAGACTCCAAGGTGCAGCAGATACTGGACCACACGTTCCCCACAGCGGTGTTTGAGGCAAGGTACAACAACACCAATAGTGGTCCTAGAGATCGCTTAGTCAAAGGTTCTTTACTATGTTAACGGGTGAAGCAATCTTCTACACAATCAAAGCTTACACTTTGGTTGTATTGGAGGCAGTGGGTGGACTGAGCGCTGTACAAAACTGCGTACATGTGTGCCAAACCTCTGCTTGCTTGTATTGGTCAATTCAGTGTTAAAACGTACCGGTGTTTATGAAGCATGTAGCTGCACCGACTGCCAATAATACTGACCTTCTTGTCAAACTAAGCTGCGTCAATGACGACAGGCATCAGAAAGGCTCTACAAGCCTTTCCATTGTCGGATGGTGATGCAGACATGCGGCTTGGTTTGCTCGCCGAGATCATTCAATCTGTAGGTGAATAGGAAAAAAAATCTACGATACAAAGCGCAAATAATGGATGTGCGAGATTACAAGCAACAGCGAGATGCTTGTCGAGAGCTGCTGGATGCAGTGCAGCCCATGTCTGATTGTCATGATCGCTGACTGCATGTCAATCTTATATTCATTGTACACAAGTGCTCAAATGAAGTCGTCGGGCAATCAAAATCATCACCGACTGCTAATCGCCTCCTCTGCTCTTAAAGATGTTAATAGCAAATGGAATGATCAACTTGTGGGTTCGATCAAGCCAACACGCCCATGCCGGTGAGTTGCCAACGTAGTTGCGTTCCGAGAAACCACTGGGATTTGCGCTTTCTCCTGTCTGAAGCCATTCTCAAGTTGGCGCTTTGCTAACGGCGTTGTACCTCCAAAGCCCCAGGAATCTCAAGATTTGATCGCCTTTCATTTATCTGCAAGAGAAAAGCTTGCGCCTGTCCAATCCTTGTCGTTGGCATCATAGCCCCTCTCTTGTCGCGTAGAGGGCGCGACAGTTGAATGTTTGCGGTTTGCCGACAACGTCGAGCACCCCGACTAGCGTAATCACACCTCGCACCTTGACAGTCGTGATTCGTTACAACATGGCGCTGTCGGGCCCTACAGTATCTCCAGCCTCACTTCGATCAATACGGACACGAGACAGATGAAGCAACATGAATACACGTGCACATTTGAGGAGACAATGAAAGCGTTTGGCAGTGGCTTTAAGCACGACAGTGCTAATCTAGTAAGGCAATGAGTTTGCACCGGTGAAAAGATGTGCTACCGTGCCAATATGCTGAGCGCTGCTGGAAAAGTAGGCAGATCTATTAATGCAAGAATTATGACTGCCATTCTTGCATTCAATAGATCTTCTTGTCCTACGCAGTAAGCATCGTGTACTCTTTCGAGAACGGCGATACATGACGGTGTCAAATTGTTTTGATGAGTTCATGGAGATGTTAAGCGCTGCGATGCCTTGCCACGCTACCATACGAACGTATGCAAATCTTTTCTAGATGCAACTAGAGAAATCTAATGTGTTACTGGCCTTTGTAATTGTTCAAGGTATTATTGTGTACAAGAAAATAAAGTGTTCATATATGAAGTCCATCCGAAAGATTGGTAGAATGGTAAAAGCTGGCGAATAATCTACTGGAAATGATGTCATTTTCGAGACGATATTTTGTACTTTGAAAACCGGTATTTTGACACAAACAAATCCTACATTAGAGTTGTGAACCTGAGTATGAAAGGGTGTACGTTGTCGTGGGTACGCTACATGTGGGACAAAAATGAATGATCTTTTGCTATTCGAGTTAGTATAAACCCGCGACTAGATATCTTAGAAAATGAACGACCACTTGCTGATTTTCTGGTCGTACAACATATTGCCGGCAGCACCCTTAATTAAGGTTTCCATTACAAAATGCGATCAATTGATGCTGAACATCTCAGTAATCACATCATCATACAAAATAATCGAATCGTTGTTTCTAATTGAACTCCAAGCCAATGCCGAGGTCAACATGTGCAGCATAACGTCATCGTCGTAAAGAGCGGTATTAAATCGATATGAAAATGCACTGATTCATTCTGCTGGACGGTTGAAGCCATTGGTAACACAAATTTTTCGAACCTTTTGTGGCTCGTGGTGTACTTGAAGTATATATTCGTCATTACGATAGGTACTCAATGGTCAATACAACAATGGTCCATTGCCAGACAGATAGCTACTCGGTCCACCCACCCGTGCTTTTGTTCGACTAGTTTTTGGAAAGGACGGATGTCATACGTACAAGAATATTTATGTTTTTTTGAAAATTGTGTTTGATGCAATGATTGTCTTTTTTTACAATATTGTAGCATAATTTATTTTACTATTATTGATTCATAACACATTGCAGCGTACAATATCATTAAAACGGATAATATTTATTGACTCTTTTCGTACCCTATCGAAATCAACGCTATTGTTTTAGCATGTTAAAACAATGTTGCTGAAAAGAAAAACATCTGTGACAACAATAGTATTTTATGTCCTATTGCATTTTTGCAAAGATAAAAGGATGGTTTTATGGCTTTATCTGAGACAGATTTGCTACATTGTTGCCACCACAAGCTTTGTGCCACTGTCCCGACTTAAGCCCGCAATTGGATACAAGATCCTAATATGGACACTATTTCGGTCTTTTTATCACCACTTGTATCCACGTCTCTATTCATTGCGTGATGGTCGGAAAAACACGGGCATGAAGCCTCAAATGAGTGCAAAGAAATTCTGAGCCCGAGGCAATTCACTGGAGCTCATTTCGTGGCTAGAACCAATTTGCCATCCGTCAAGTGCAGACACAAGGCAGTAATTGGAACAAAAACGACGGTCACAACCCATTCTCAAGCGTCGAAAGATGTGTAGCTCAAAGCATCACAAAAGAAAACAATCGCTTGCATTTCTTCATTTCCACTCTTGAAGATAAACACTTGAGTAGATCCGAATTATTTAGTGCAGAGTGTATTAAACAAGATACAATGTACGATCAAATTGAACCTCTATTACCTGAAGAAACTGCTGCACTCTTGAGTATGAGCGACTCGTTTATTCAAGAAGCAGTACATATGTCAAGACATTATATACGTTGTGCACGTATTGCAATTGATTCGACCCGATGGAAACGAATTGCGCATGTTCGAGATCTTACTATGTACAAGGAACGTCGTAATCGACGAATACCTGATACCATGCGCAAACTCGGCTCACGATTAGCAAATGATAATGCGATAGCTGAACAATCTACATTATTACCAGCCAAATTAATGGTTGGCACGTTTCCAGGTAATTTAGAATCCGTGATGTTTGGATTACAAAGTTTCACACAAGATGCCACTCGTCTACGAGCGTCATATATTGGTGACAATCTTGTGGATGAGAAGCTCGTGACAGTACCGTTGGAACTATCAAGTCATGAAGACCCATTGCGTTCGTGTACTTTGAGATGGAGAGGATTACGCACTACAGCAGCTAGCGTCGCGTCCGGACAGATCTTCAGCTCACGTTTTATTGAGACCGTGTACATCGAATCCACAGGTATAGCACAGCTTGACGATGGTGAGCGTGTCGGCTATGAACTGCTTCAATCAGTTGATGTGCCAGGTTGTAAAGGCTTTGGCAGAAACAAAAGGAGGCAAGCTATTATCTCGTACTGCTATGTTTATCGTCAGCCGTCTCCGGATGTAGTGGAGGTCTTCATGCTTGGCTCTACGTCTCGCGACGGCGAGTTGCTAGGCGGTGCCTTTGCCAAAATGCACAATCTCCATCGTCTTGTATGCTGTGCTGAGCGAAAGAAGCTCGCGTGGTTATTGAATTCCAGCCAGCCCACACTAGCCAGCACAAAAGGTGCTCGCTGCTGTGCCGAGTGTTTTCGTTCCTTTGGTCGCTGGCCATATCGAGCTGAACGACAATGTAGCGCCTGCGACGAACGAGTGTGCGCAAGCTGCACAGCCTATCGTGAAATGCGGTTCGCTCTGCCATTTCGTCACAAAGTCACTCGGTCCAAGCTTGCTTTCTGCAATCGATGTTTGCAACGCGCCGACGAGATAAGTCCCATGATGGTAGCAGGTTTTGAAGCCATGGAAGACGGTAAAATGTTGCGTTGCGACACCTTCAACAGCTCGCTACCTTTGGATCAGTCCAAGTGGAGCAGTCATTGCTTTGACATCGACGACGACCTTGCCATGACCATTTTGGGCGATTTATGATTGACCGTTGACTCCCATTGGAAGGGCTCAAATGCGTCGACTCGTACTTGTCCGTGGCTTGAAAAACCATTTTCACATAAACAAATATTTATTCTATAGGTGGACTCAGTATAGCATTTCTACTTCATCTTGCATCAGTGTTTTGTTCCTTTTACTACACTTATTTGATCCTTGACATGCCGAGCTACAAATGTCTTTGCGCCTTGTAACGATGCGCATTGGCACCGTCCATAGCTGCACAGATGAGCAATACGAGAGCCATGTCTACTCCAATGGCTATCTCCACATGGTATGTATTGCCTCCACACATTGTCATCCTATTACTTGCTGGACGATACACCTTAGCGATAGATTCCTTTTGCCCTCCACGTCCTCTTTCAAAATACAACACTGCAGCTCGTTGTCGCCACGTGCCATGGCATCCAACGCGACTTTTACCTCCTGAGTGCGGGTCGTCCACCTCTGCTAGCAGCGGATCACTTCTATTCGACACAAAATTGATCACAAAAGTCGTAAGCACTTTTGGCTCGGGCTGACGACGATTGCCTATACAAACATCGTAGGCCGCTGCTCCAGGATGATCTCGTTGTGTCATATGAGCCACTGGAATACCGTATTCATCCACCAGCCACTTTGTCCATCCGTCTGACACTTCACCGCCAATGGTGGGCATGACGCGAAATAAAACGCGATTGGTATCAATATCACGTACGGCGTAGCCATTAATATCAATGGCGTGCATCCAAAAATTGTCCGAGAGCTCGAATGTCGTGACGCGCTGCCGGCAAAAGCGCGGATTCACCACGAATGGGAATTTCCACTGCTGTGTCAGTGGTGTTGCTAAAAACTTTTTCGTCGATAACGCCGCCCCCATTGGCGTTGCTATTGCTCTTACAATATTGTTACTGCTATAGTATTCAGTCATTCGTCTCTCCTCGCAGTAACGTTCAGCAACAAAAGGACGACTTGTAGCATCGAAGCCTGTGGGAATACATAGACCGGCTTAAAATTGTCTTTTTCAGTATTATGCTTGTATACATTCTGATCGAGACATGACCTGTGAAAAATGATAGACTGTACACTATGATGCAAACGATTAAAGAAGTCTTTTTCACTCGTGCTCTTGCACCTCTCCAGGCAAAAAGACTCAAATTACACAGCACTGACTTCGTTTTGAATACAGATAGCCACAAACTTGGCAGACAAGGCGTTGGTCGATCGACCGAACGTTAACAAGTGAGATGGTGATACATGTAAGATTGGCAAACGATTGTATCTTCAAATCTCGATATTCTGTCGGTAAATTAAAAACTACCTTAGCTCATTAAAATTGTCTTTTTTACTGCTCATTTTTTAGTTTTCGAAATGAGTTGGGTCCAGTCGCATCTAGTATGGGTTTTTATTCCCACCAGTTGTTTGTTTTTACTACCAAACTCTACCAAAAAACGGTATTTAGACAGAGTTTGGTTTTACCATTTTACGATTGGATAATTAATTATGTTTTTATCCAATGAATTGCCAGGGCGATATATAGTGCTTGTCTAAGGCTAACCGAGATCTTAGTCATCAAAAGCGCCACGAGTGGCCTTAAGGCAGCAGTTATATAGTATAGGCATGATTCTAGTGCTTCTGTTGTTGCGTGCTTGGCGTCGTGTCGCCTGCTGTAGGTTGCAACTCGCGATGCCGCGATGCCGCGATTAGTTCAACGTTTTTTTGATTGGTTGAAACTGGATCGATTTCAATTAAGTGCGATAGATAATGCAGCTGCGGCAATTTCTACCAAATTTTACACTCGAGGTCACACAGACCATCACTCTAAGTTTTACATATTTTCACTATGTTGAGAGACCTATTCACCCCATCATTTTACCTCAGCTTGGGCGGCCGGCGTCTCCTTGCTGTCGCCAGTATCCGATTTCCAAGCTCAAGCGCAAGCGTCAACTTTGTCATCTTTCTTTTTTTTACCTGTTACAATGGACCGTGATTCCCTTGTGTTCCTTGCCAAGCTGGCCGAGCAGGCCGAGCGATACGACGAGATGGTAGACCACATGAAGGCTGTAGCAAACAACCACAACGTGGAGCTTACGGTTGAAGAGCGTAACCTGCTATCGGTTGCTTACAAGAATGTGATTGGTTCGCGTCGTGCCTCGTGGCGTGTGATCTCTTCCATTGAAAACAAGGGTGACTCGGAGCGTAGTGAGCACATTAAGGCCTACCGCCAGAAGATTGAGGGCGAGCTTGTGGATATCTGCAATGACATTCTGACAATCATTGAGAACAATTTGATTCCTAATTCATCTAGCGAGGAGGGTAAGGTGTTTTACTACAAGATGAAGGGTGACTACCACCGTTATTTGGCCGAGTTCCAGGTGGATGACGAGCGCAAGGAGTCTTCAGACAAGGCTTTGGAAAGCTACAAGCAAGCTTCGACCATTGCCATGGCTGAGCTTCCTCCCACGCACCCTATCCGATTGGGTTTGGCTCTTAATTTCTCAGTCTTTTACTATGAAATTCTGAACTCGCCCGACCGAGCGTGCAATCTGGCCAAGCAAGCTTTCGACGATGCTATTGCCGAGCTTGATACGCTCTCGGAAGAGAGCTACAAGGATAGCACACTGATCATGCAGCTATTGCGTGACAACCTGACCCTCTGGACCTCAGACCAGGAACCTGACAACACTGACGCTAACCAGGGTGACATGAATGTCCAGGACGTGGAGTAATATTTTAGCAGTAGTACATGCATGCCTTAGGCGAGCTAGCTCAGCTGATGTTAGTGGTGGGCAGAAATGGTAGAAGGACGTGTGGACGAAGCGGTGGAGACGAGGAGGACTGAGAGGCCGCAGCTTTGTTTGTTTTGTTGGCCTCCTCCTTTTTGATTATTGTCCAACGCTACGACCGCCAGCCATTTTTTCTGCTACGAATTCAGCCGTCCGGTGCTTAATATTGGTTTAAATAGAATCCACAAGAAATTTAGCGAATTTCTTTTCTGTATATAGGTATCAATCTGAAATATTTGCTTTGTGTCTCTAATGGCAACGTCAGTCTTACAAGTCAGGGAAAAACTACCGTCAAGATCTTAGACTGCTGAGACACGCCAAAAGTTTCAATTGGTCAACAATAAGCCTTTGTATTCGAGAAGCTCAGTTTTGAGATGCTCTTTCATCGCTGCTGCCCATCATTTGACTTTGTAATGTAGAGATCAAGTACATTCACTAATCTCATCTTGCACCATAGCAGGTACAGCCACAAAGTACTAGCTAAAAACGTCTGCTGTACATGTAATTAGGTGATACATATGATAAGCTTCCGCTAGTAGGGGTAATACAGGTTGGCTAGACGTCATGTGTATGTCATCAAATGGTTGGAATGTTTATCATCTACTATCATATCATAATCGCTACAATCGTGAGGAAATGATCTCAGCACTTTTGGTGTTATTCCTCTAGGCAACGCTTCTGTTTATTTGTCCATTACTGTCTCACCAATAGCGTATGCTTAGGATGTATAACAAAAGAACTGTAGCCGGCCGTTCTACCTTCCTCAAGCTAAAGCTGAGGCGTTTAGCTATGCAATGTTATGTATCTACACTCTAACAACCACCTCTGTCGTCAGTCATGCCTTAGCGTCTATATCCGTCTCAATGGTCTTAAGTCTTACGAACTCAGCGTATAGCCATATACTGTACACTATTATCTCACTTTTTTGCTAGTCGCATGAATAGACTCTCGCTTATTCGGGAGATATTTACTGTAAAAGGCAGTCTTTTCGAGACCTACATGTCCTTCTAGACACCACGGTATCGTTGAAGAGCATTGTGCACATGCGATTTTGCTTGCGGTGCAATACGTTTGCCCTTATGTGCCACACAAATGACGATCATTACTGAGTGCATGGATTACAAATTGCGGATTGAAAGGCAGATTAAATCTGATAACAGAGTCAGATCATAAAGGTTGAAGTGCAGACCATCACTCTGTTTCCGCACTGACCAAGCTCATTACCTCTTTTCTCCGCACGCACGAAAGACCCCAAAGAAACGATCACTGAAGAAGTAAAGCGCATTGTGTGCTCAAGACATGACAAACGCCATGGACGACATACCGACGTCACAAGATGCAAAGACCCTTGTCCCGTTGTCACTGAGTCTGTACGTAAGAACTGCTGCATGACGTTAAGACCAATCAACCAAGTGACTTGATATGTATCTATTTATCTGAATAAACAGGGTAGCAAAGAAGGAAAAGATCCTGCAAATGGAGGCTAGCAAGCTTGAGAAACTACTACTTCAACGTAATGAGATGCTCTGTGGCTTGCGAGAAAGTCACGAGTACTTGCTTACGACAAATGGACAGCTACAGTGCGTCATTACATCCACTAATGTCATTGATTACTCTACTCCACTGATCTTACTTTGTGGGTTTGAGTTAGAGCAAGAAGATGTTTATATCGCGAAAAGCTCGTGTCTCTTAGGACGCTGCTAGTAGCTAATCCAGAGGCAAATGGGGTAGACAAAGGTCGCCACAGCGACGCTATTGGAATGAACGAGTTGGATGCAACGAGTGAGAAGTGTGGAATGCTAAAGGAAATATTACTTGGACTGGTGGACAAGCATGCTGGACTCGAACGACGGTGCATGGAGCTTGAAGAGCAGACGTCTCGAGAGACGTTGGCTTTGAAATCGAAAGAGCAACAACTAAACGAAGGTATGAAAGCAGAATGAGGGGGGAGGATCATTGCCATTGCTCATTCATTCTTGCCATAGCTCGAAATACTCTTGACCTGCTACGCGAAGATATTTGCTCAACTCAATGGAACCTCGAGGTAATTGAACCGGTCGAGGAACACTGACAACCTAGCTACTTTTGTTTAACAGCTTGCACATATTGTGCAGTATGATCAAGCTGAACTCGCTAAAGAAGAAAAGCGACTCAATATTATTAGTCAAAGCGGGCAACATGAAGCAGCAACTGTAGAAAAAGTCGACGCTACTTTGCGGTGCGAAAAGAACGCAGTTGAAGACTTACACAGAGTAGGCAACTACTTGTTCTGTTGCGTGTTGTTTCGCATGTTGCTAACTACTTCGAATGTGCTTGATAGAGCTGGCAAAACTATGAAGGCATGATCCATGAAGAGCACCGCCAGCTTGTGATTGAAAATGAAAACGCAATAAGGTAGACCTTGTGCGCAGTGAATGATGCGCTTTGTCAAGTACTGATTTTGATTGACGGCGATACGCAGTGAACAGCAAAAACTGCAGATGTTGCTTGGAAGCAACGGGGTACGAACAGTGAAGGCGATTGATCACCTGCTACGAAAACAGTGTAACTTACCGCGCTATGTGCGTACTTTGAAGGCGACGTGCCCGGCTGATGAGGAAGTTGTGCAGTCAGCTAATGATCTGAAATTGCGGTTGCAACATGTCAACGTACGCTGCCTTGCAATTACATGTTAACCACAGATTGCTAATCGTTGTTTGCATTCTAGGAAGAAGTGACTAGCGCCAAATTCTTTCGACGGGAACTAGCTCTACGAAAGAAACAAGAAAAGGAATGGCTAGCCTTCACGCATTCCAGTATCAAGGTGATGTCTGTATCTTGTGGTACCATGACTTCAGGCTATTTACCAAAAAGTTGTCTTCGAGCAGGCAAAGGATGAACAGCTCAACTGGCTGGAGTGCCAACGCGTGCACCTTGAAAATGAGCAAAATGAAGCAAAAAAGGTTTACGCTGCTGAAGAAGCCAGTACGTGTGCTGGATGTGTTCGGGATATGGCTATGTATATGTACTAAATGATATCGCGTGTTTCCTCTAGCTTACCAGACTTTTCTCAGAGAACATAAAGCAGCAGTAGATTCGTGTGAAAATCAAATTCGTGATGCCGAACGACAACTAAAGACGACAGAGCGTGCCATCCCTGCCCGCAAGAAGAAGATAACTGCTATTAACAAAAAAATTGCGGAAAAGGCAAAAGTACTCGCGGAATGGAAGACGAAAATTTCCACAAACCAGGCGCAAGCGTCGAAATCTGCAGCTACAAAAGAGCTTGTGCATGCTGAAATGCTGGCCATACAAAATGCATTGGAGCAAGCTTGCCTCAGTGTTCAACGCACGAAGCAACTTCGAACTACACAAGAAATGGAAACCGAAGAGTTGCGCTCATCTTGCGCGGTATTGGAGTCTGAAATTCAGCAATTACACAAGACGTTGGCAACGTTGAAGGATGATATTGCTGCAGCTCAAACTGCCGTAAAAAATCGTGTCGACGAAATACGTGACAAGTTCTTAAGCACCTTCGTCGTTGAGGACGCTGGAAATTTGATTGAGCTGTTGAATAAGGAGGTAAGTAGACATGTCGATAAATTGATAAAGCAAACAAACCTAACTCCATTCCCCTTAGATCGCAAACTGGACAACAAAAGATACCGACGGAGCAATTTCTAATGCGTTTGCTATCCAGATCAAAGTGGTTGATGTGACTTCTTAGTATGTTAGCAACATATTGCTTTATCCTGACCAGTCTGTATGATTGTAATACGACAGCTACAGCAGAGATACGATGATCTGTCGGCCAACACGCGCAAAAGATATGATAAAATTTTGCTACAGAAGGTAGGTGAAGTCATTCGACAGATTAATTGACCCAACTGAACGCTGTGTCACTTTTATCTTGTTGTTGATTAGGAAAGGCAGTACAACACAAAGTTAAAAATGCTAAACACTAAGGCCGCCGAGAAGAAACAGAAGCTTGCAGTTGTCTCTTTGATCAGCAACAACCAACTCACGGGCAATAAAGCTGTAGTGAAGAATTCGGTTTGCAAGGAAGCTTTGTCTGCGACGGGCCATAAGCCTGAAGTGGATCCTTACAGCGTGGAGATTACGCCAAGCGAAGATGACACCAACGAAACCGAAAAAAATAAGTTTGACCCATTCCGGAAGGAGCACACAAACAGCGATGGTACCAACAGCGAGGTAGTGTGGACATAACAATGCTTACCCGGATATCAAGCTTTGAAGACGCTGACACATCTTATGTTTATGTAGGTCCCAGCGCAATCTTCTTCAAAGCTGGCGCAAAAAACGACGAAAGAAGTGCAGAAGCTAGCTCCAAAGTCCGTCCGACGTCAACTCGCACCTGGCTTAAACTTGGTGGACCAGTCGCCCCAGACGGACAAAGAACTGACCGACAATTTCGCCACCAACTCCATAGCTGTGGTAGCAGCAACGAAGGCAACCGATCCTAGTGGATTGACAGTCTTGACGCAACGCAGACAAAGCAGTGATAATGGAGCACGTCAATCACGATTGAAGCGGCGCACACCAGCGCAGAAGGCGGGAAATCCACCAGCAAAGACCGCAAGTATCACACCAGAAGCTGCACTGCCTGCAAGTATTGCAGACAGCATGTCCACTTGTGCTCAACCGAATCCTGCCGTCGAACTATCAAGTCAAAGCTCTGTTTATTCTCCAATCGGCTGCGATGATGACCACGAGGCATTACAATTCACGCGAGATGCAGGCGATGCTGACGTGACAAAGCAGATGTCCAATACAGCAGTGCTCTTTTCAGCAAGCCAAGCCGCCGCTAAAAAGCCACAGCTAAAAAAGGTAAGTTTTTCGCTTGCTTGCGCATTTCTAGTCGATTGCGAAAACTAACTGTCTTGGAGCAGGTGGGTCAGCACAGTAAAATTACCGCCAAGCGTCGCACTTCAACAAAGGTAACGCACCTATCACGCCCGAAGGTGAAGAAAGTCAACCGCGTTTCTATCGGACGCTCACAAGCCAACGTGCGTACCGTGGACTGGTCCGCTACAGATTCCTTTACCTTCGACTGACCTTTGTTGGAGGTTGAGGCATCGTCCCACTTTTGCTTTCATTATCCCAAACATCGTTTCATTTTGTGCTGACGCATATAAAGATTGATTTTTCTTTCAGCCAATGAGGATGGTTATTAATACCGAGTCGTTGGTCTCGTTTTCATGAGGGGTGCACGACGTCGCCAATCAGTTTCTAATCTACATCCTCCCGCATCAGCAATGTTTTCGTTTATGCTTCGTTCTACATCCCGCCAACCAAGTGCCGCTGCTTCCGCCACTGTCATGGTGTCTGCTCTTGGTTTGGCCAACTGTTCGATAGCCGCGCGCAACGCTGAAGAACCTAAGGTGGCACTGAGCCCCAATGAGTTTCGTTCGTTAAAAGTGACGAAAGTGGAAGACGTGACCCACGATACCAAACGCCTCGTGTTTGCGTTGCCTTCTAAAGAGCACGAGATGGGCCTCAGGACGGCTAGCTGTCTCATGGCAAAGGCTGAATTGAATGGCAAGGCGGTCGTCCGTCCGTACACGCCCACGAACACAAACGCCGAGAAGGGTCAGTTGGAGCTCGTGGTCAAGGGCTACCCAAACGGAAAATTGAGCAAACACATTGTCAACCTCAACGTAGGCGATAAGCTGGCCATGAAGGGCCCGTTTATCAAGTTTGAGTACAAACCGAACGAGTATAAGAGTATTGGCTTCATTTGCGGTGGCTCGGGCATCACTCCAGCGCTGCAGGTAGTGAAGGAGATTTGTCGCAACCCGAACGATTCAACACAAGTAGCGCTTATCTTTTGCAATAAAACGGAGAAGGACATCATCCTCCGTGATGAGCTGGACGCCCTGCAGCACATGTACTCGCAGTTTCAGGTGCACTACGTGCTGAGCGAGGCCGATGCAGACTGGGAGGGCTACACAGGCTACGTGACCAAGGAGCTCATCGAAAAGCTTCTACCTGGACCGTCAAACGATAGTTTCGTTGGCGTGTGTGGTCCCCCTCCCATGATGGACGCTATCTCAGGTGACAAGTCCCCAGACCGGAGCCAGGGAGAGCTCAAGGGTCTGCTTAAAGACGCGGGATACACCAGCACTCAAGTTTTCAAGTTCTAAGCGATCTGCCAACTTGCTGATGCGCCAATCCGTAGACATCGAGTGACTGGTGTTAGCTCCTTGTTAATTGACATTCTTGCCCAATGGACCCATGTCATAAGAAAATACAGCGTATAAGACTCCTACTTTTTACCTCTTCTTCTAGTGCATTGTAATTTGCATCTGCCTTATGCATACACAATCGAGGCAGTATATATGTATATGATGCACAAAGGCCGGCATCCAAATATCAACTAGTCAACACTGTGCGCCAAAGTACTCCACTGCTCAGCTAGCAAGCTTCTGCTCACCGATATCTTCATTATGCCAAATGCGACAACAGCAGCATGGCCAGGTCCATAGTTATATAGGTAGCTTCACTTGGTACTCTTGGCAAAACTACGCCTCAGTAAGCTGCGTTGTCTCCAAATGTCCCGTCTGGTTCATGTATGTAAGCTGCACATTACCGACACTATCAACTTCCATGGCAGTGATGCCGCAGTGATTGTAGCGCATGCGACCCCATGTGCCGTCCGGATTGACACCTAACGCCTTGCACACGAACCAACGGATAATGTTAGCGTGACACACCATCACACGAAATCTGTCGTTCGCACGAGTCTGCGTCGAGCGTGCCCCAAATTTGCTGGCGTAGTGCGTGTGGTCTTCTTCGCTCAACTTGTGCTCCTCAACCTCCAGGTCCTGCGGAATAAGGTGCCGAAACATGGTACGGTACGCCATTTTAAGGCGAGCGCAGTCTGACACCATATTGTCGAGCTTTTCTCGTGCCAATTGCTGGCGATTGCCATTCGGCAGTGGATTGCCCGGCCACGCTTCACGGAACAACTTGTTCTCACGAAGCTGCAGCGATTTTTCTGGAAAAGCATTTCCAATGTATTCTGCCGTCTCCACGGCTCGACGAGTGCCGCTATGGTACACCAAGAACTTTGGGAACCGCTTCAATACCATCCTCTCTGACAAATAAGTATGCAGAAATCTACCCGTTGCCCGGGCCTGTCGTATTCCCAACTCCGTCAACGGTCCATTGATGTCGATGGACGGCGTCTGCGACCTGGCGTAGTGGCCGTGACGCACCAAAATAATATGCGTCGTGCGGCTCTGATCCACAAGCGACAAGTCCGTTGCCGGTTGTACAAAGTGAGCCTCTGCAGCAACGGCAATCGCCGTCATCCAATCCATAAGCGTCTGGACATCAGGGGCCTCAAGGATACGAATACTCCCGTTGGCCAATTTCAAACTAAACGAGACATTGTCCTGACGTTCCACCGACGCTCCCACGACATCCCACATGCCTTTCAATGCACCATATTGCTGTTTGTTATCAATGGTGTAATATGACAACTCCTTACCACGTAGGACGAATATACGCTATTACAAACAAAGCCATAGTGATATCCAGTTAGTCCTCGTCAAAGAAAAAAACACACTTTAACTAACCAATGTGTAGACAAAGGTATGATAGAGAGCACCTACACTTACATTCTTCCATCCTCTTAATCCAGCCTCGCCTTTTTTCATCAATGCGCCTTCCATAAGCACGTCATTAGCAAAAACTTGTACGTTTGCATCATGAATTTTCGTTTGAGAAAAGTTGTTGCTTAAATCAGTAACCATAGACTGTCGCATCATAGAAGAAGGTCTCATTATAGACGCCATCATGGATGGACGTGAGCCTTGTGTTGTGTCGTGTACCTTTGTAGCACCAAATTGATTGGGCCTGGATGTAAACTGATCCATTACAGACAAACGTGAATTGAGCATGTGTGAACGTGCTTCATCCTCTCGTTGAGATGGACATGCTGTGTTCATTTTCATACAACCTTATTTATCTCTCTTTCTCTCTTGTTATATATATATATATAATATGGCAATGAGAAGCTAGAGAGTAAGACGTCTCGGACTTGTTCCTTCTTGAACAGTTTGACAAGTCCTGCTGTTGAACTGGCTGGTAGGCCCTTGTACAATTGTGATTGGTTAGTTAAGTCCTTCCTTGTGACATAAGCGATACTTACACGTTATCCGACTAGAAACATTGATTACGGGTAGTCATAGATTCACCTTCAAAAAAAGGGGACAAAAAAAAAGGGAAAAAAACCGGTCACCCAAATAAAACTATCAACACCATTTATATTTTCCCATGATTTATTATACTTTGCATTACTAATAATTAACACAAGACAGTGTTTCCAATGATATTTAAATGCAGTAGCAATTACCAGTGAACTTACTTTTGCAGCAAAAAGGCTGCATTCTTGCACTAGCACAAAAGTAAGAAGCACAGCAAGACATCGTCTTGAGTTGCAACAGTAATGTAAATACTTGCTGGAGTTACGTGCTGTTGAGAAACTGACATCTTTATTAGCACGTACTTCACATGTAAACCTTTGTTTGGTTTCGCCAGACAAGGCGCAAAAGAATGTCATGTTGTTTACAACTGCGGAATCCTGTAAACAAGACCTAGCAATCAACTTTAACATGCATAGTAACCTACTACTAAGTCAACAAAACATTCGAGCAAAACGCATTCAAACGACAAGATCGTCTCTGAACACTCTACTCAAATCGGTCAAATTGCCTGCAACTGGTGACTGATGTAGATCGTACGCTGGACTGAACAAGTTTGGCTTCGTTTTCAAAGCGGTATCTTGCGGCGAAAGTACCTTATTGATGGACACTGACTCGACTCTAGAAGGAGCGTTTTCGTCTCCATCACCTTCTTCCAAGGGCAACGGATGCGTCTCTGGGTTGTAAATGATGTAGAGAATAAGGTTCACCGAGCACACGAGCAGACACATTACATTACTTCCGAAGAGAAACCAGCTTCCAACCATTGGACAGTATACGAGCCACATAAGGTTGTTCAATGTGCCAGTCACCACCATCGGGATTGGGATAAAGACCGCCGACTTGTAGTGTAGTATTTTCATCATTCGTTCGAATGGCGAGCAAAACATGCTAAGCCCAGCCAAAACACCCAAGATACCCAATGTCGTTTCTACGCCATCTTGCGATTGATTGGTGCGCCCTGCGTTGCCCAGGATTGCGTAGGTCGTGACGAGACAGAGAATAATACTTCCAATAATGATCCTGCAAAGAGCTTTCTTACGATCACGCGCATAGCAGTAGAATACAGTCACGTAACATATAGCGATAACGTCAGACGTGATAAAGGTGGTAAACACGGGAAACCAGTTCTTAACCGTAACACCATTTAACATCCACACATGGGCGTTTGTAACCATACATACAAGTGGTAGCACGGACGCAACACCTGTATCCCTGTTGCAATAGATCCGGTAGATTGACGGACCCATGCTCAACGTTACACTGACAGACGCAACGGACGTTAAAACACGAAAGAGCGTTTCTACAATAAGGTTGACCATTTCTTTACTGGCGTTACTAAACTTAAACATCAAGGAAAAAGTACTTGTGCGTACAAATGGAAGCGACTACAGGACTGAGTGGTCCATCAGAATTAAAGTCGTTTCTGCAGCAAGAAATGTCTGTCGTTTTTCGATCTTTAGGATGCGTTAGCCATAAAACGATATGTGAATAAAGTATAGAACAAAAAATCTTGACGATTCGATGAGAGGTCGGTCATGCGAACAGCAAAGAATTACTTCAGTTACCTTTTGTTTGTAATATTCGTAATAAGGAGATTATAAAATATGTAATGCTACTGCTGACAAGTTTTTGTGTCGTCCTTTGTAGATCCTATATTAATGTAAAAGTTTCTAATTTAACAAAGCCATTTTCGATCAGGTGACCAAAGCAAGATGCTTGTTTCTTTCGACGTGATTTCCAAGGCAATTAATATTGTTAAATGGTTATTATTTTTAATTTGTTAAGAGATAATATAAATGTGGATAGAATGCGGATAGTCTCAGTTTTATAGGGTTTTCCTGTGTCTATAGTGGTTCCCAACCATCAGCAGTATGATTAGATGTATATCTAGCATATGTGATATACTGACAAGCAAAATCGTCCTCATTCATGTTCAAAAGCGTATTCGTTATGTGATTCAATGCCAATCTTTGATGCGTCTTGTAAGACCATGAACGCGGGATTCGTGTCTTTGGCAGTCACACCACATTCATTCAGATTGTTTTTGAGATACAGTGCACTATGAATCGACCATTCAACGTATACCTTTTGCTGTTGATGCAGCTTGAGCTTGTACATGAGTGAGATTGTAAGTTGTGCAAACAAATCCCATACAATGTGAGTAGGAATTAGTGCAGATGAAAGAGAGTGAGAGTGAAATAGGATCTATTCTCATACTTCTTGCCAAATCGCCTACGGGTACACACACTCTAAATGAAAGACTTCCTAAAGTGACGTCTCGAAGTTTTATACTACGCTCGATTTCTTTGATGATAAAAGTGCGATGTATACACAGGAGCACATTCATGTAGAAACCGGTTATGCAGGCAAAGTGTCGTACTTCTAAACGACCTTTACACGGTTTACCTGCAGCACACTGTCAAAAGATGTCTACGATTGCTGATTATTACATCGCAGCACGTAGTGTGCTGAGTTTACTCTTTCACGAACGCAGATGCAACGAATCTGATTACAGTGACGTAAACAGAAATACGCTATCACTGACGCGCTGGTTCTTACCTTTCGATTTGATATATTGCTGACAACTACATGTTGCTAGCCTAAACTACATCCCAGATATAAACGCTACTGTAGCTATTGGTCATGGTACAAGGAGTACGAGTGTCTGTCACTGGAGACGGCATTCTGCTCAGGCTACTGCAAAAGGACGATGTCACTTGACAAGTTTCCATGATACTCAAAAAGCTTGTTAAGAACGCCGATGTTTTGGACTTGGTGCACAAAGGTGTCGAAGTTCCAATGCGAAGCAGCACACTTGATGAAGTCACCAACTTGAGGACGTTTATGGATGGTAACTATTGTGTATCATGGCCATGGTATTGTGCACTTTGACCATGGTGAAGTCAGAAATGCTGTATGCCTTACCAAAACAGACAAAATGAACAGAGAAACTGGGGCCTCGTGAATATGGCTTGCTGCATCCTTTACAACGAAAGCATCGCGAAGAAGCGGTGCTGAAACCGACACAAATTTGTCTAGATCATCAGACGACAACAATAAACCATTTTTGACGCGATAAACGTCACCATGTTCTAATGCTGTGGCGAGAGTTTTGCACGACCCCACCACAGCATTAGAACATGATGACGTTTGGCTCGTTTCGACTACGGACACATCGATAGGCAAAAAGCATCATAGCTTGCTGTCGAGGCGTTTAAGGGTCGCTTCGTGGGTACGGGATGGTGTGAAGGGACAGCGCATCCTCACCAGACAGGTGCAAATCGTTCGCTTTGTCAAGTCTTGGACCTGTCGACAAAAATAAATCGTTTGATGAAGTGGCTTTAGATGGGTCAAAATCGATAGACGCATCTTAACACAAAACCTTCAATGACAACGAATCGGGCGTTAGTGTAATGATAGCCTCGGTGCTTGTTTCGCAGTAAGCAAATTGAAATCGCAGATAGTTGTGGACCTCCACTCATTACGGCCTTCACCAGACACCGCGGCCCTCGCCAGGCCAAGGGCATTTTCAGTCAGTCATCATTGTGTGGCCACAGGATGACAGTCCGTTTGAGACGTAGTGACTTTTGATCAAGGTCTTGTGAAACCTTCGCGCCCATGAAAACAAGACGATGATGACGCTGAAGCCTTACCAGTCGCTAGTACTGGGCAACAAAGACATGGCCTGGAATCTCTGCGCAGTCACATTCCTAGGCAACCTACTACGCTTCTTATTGAAGACAAAAGGAGTGTGACGGACCACTCGGAACAGAGCTAACAGCATATTCCGATGCACACCGGCTGACAATCGCGACGACTGACGTTTAGTATGAAGAAAATATGTTAGTCAAAGTTGTGCAATACTCCTCTTGGGGGCTACCAAAGCTGTGCAGTGTCTCCAATGTGGAGGTTAAAAGATAAGGGATCGCGCTGATCTTGATGGAGAAAGCTAAATCGATGAACCTCAGCGAGTGCATCAAGGAAGTGGTATGACCACGGTAAAAATTGGACGTTCTATCTCAAATTTTTGCTTTTTGTCAGTGCTACTATGATGAAGGATGGGTTCAGCACTGCCGGCTTTTTTATCATTTTCGGTACCCTTGGCTATCGTAGATACTCCCTATTCTAGGTAGTGTGAGATATTAGTCATGTTGTTGTTGCTTCATGTGCTGATGGGTTTTATAGACATTAACCACGACACAAGTCATCATATTTACAGACTAAGGTAGTTTTGTACTGGTACACATACCAATCATATGCCCCCATCAATGCCACTGAAGTATTTATTCACCACCCTTTTCTCAATGTGATTCGCTCATTACTTCCTGCTGAGCAGAATTGATTGCTAGAAGTCACGTACCGATGGTGACTTGTTCCGTTCTTGGATTGCTGTGATACTTTCCGCATTACTGTCCGGACCACGTTCGAGGTTCTACTACAGATCTGCAATTCATGTTCATGTGACGTTGTGCAATAGATTTGCCGAGTGCAACTCGGGGGATCTCACGTTGGGAACTCGCTTTCGAGCCATCAAGAGCCTTTCTCGTTGAGGATCCAAAATCTAGCACATTTTGTGGTGAGGGTAAAGCTGATAAGAATTTAGTGGATGAATGCAAGATTTGACCTGGAACTCGTGCCGTTACTCGGACAACAGCTACCGAAATTTAAGGTGATTTTACAGCTATGACAGCAGCGTTACCAAGAATGTGCGAGAGACGGCACACCATGTGACTGTCTACGTCTTCAAGTTTAGAGCCCTGAATGAATATTGAACAGTGGTTGATGCAGCTGTGCTGACGCCTCACGGTTCGACAAGATAGACGCAAACTTTGTACTCACGGTCCGACAACAACCCACATGATACTGAGTGCGATTATTCCGCTGTAAAGGTATCGATGGACCAACAATGCAATTGCGGCTGCCAACGTCTCCGTCTGCTACATGGAGCAAAGCTTCCATGCACATGAGCAGTCACCTGTTGCAGCAATTGCGGATACCGCCGACGTCAGTGGCAGTTGTCGATTCAGCTCAAACTTGTGACAGCTAAGATTCGGCTACAACTCGTTTGATGCGCTGGTTCGAGATATGTGACGGTCATAAATGGCGCTGAAACTCTTGTTGTGTGATACCGAAGATGATGTCAATATGGCAAAAGGAGGCTAGGCATGCCTGTTTTCGTGATACGTTCCAAGACTGACAAATTATGTGGCGCTTTCACTATCATGTGTCAATTGGTCATTTTCTTTCACCTTTGCCTTGTCCCATAGGCGAGATTTACATTCGGAATCGTAGCCTCTTACCAATGTTTTACATGTGTATTGGCTCGAAAAACCACACGTATCACGCACACCCGATGCCTGAAATATAGATCCATATCGATTTGAGAACGAATGGCATAAGTTCAATGTGTCGCTTTCTTCACTGGTAATACCTGCCAAAATGAAGATGTGCAGAACAAACAAGCATGGAGCTCATCAGCAGCTTGTATGGTGCTCAAAAAATTGACGATATCACTGACGGCATGATGACATGGGGTGAAGGTTGTATCGACCCATCTCAACCGACGTTTATGATAGCATTTATCTGATGGACGGCAAACTTCTGTTTACTCCACCAAAAGAAGTGCATGCTCTTCTTGTTCTCCGACAAGCGCCTGTTCGGCGCACGCTTCATTCAACCAACCTTTCCAAAAATTTACGGTGGTAGTGCAAGACTCTTGCGATGCATCTGTGGTGCGAATTGGTGTACTTGGTTGATATACGAGGAGGAATACGATACTCTTAAGATCACCGATGGATCCTAGATATGTATTGATGAGATACAGCGAATAAAAGACCGACACCATAACGCGAAATTTACTAGACATGGTGCGAGTTCTATTGCCTTTGCGCTACTCATCTAGACTGTCAGGGGTTAAGCAATTGACTGTTGTTGCGGCTAATATGTCGAAAGGACGATGGCGTAATGAAGCTAGTACTGCACGGACGGCCCTTGAGTTTCGTGCCCTCCGTGTAGCATTTTTATAGCTGATGGATGCAGCATCAGAAAGATATTCCATCCAAGACTATACGACCATAACTCTGGACGGCGGCAACTTTTACGCTTGAAGTAGACATTGGTGGCGTCATATTTTAGCAACAAACGGACATTGGTGGCGTCATGTTTTAGCAACAAAAGGACCGGTGACAAGGAAAGAATGGCAGGAAAAGCCTTCGTCCTTACTGGAAGGAAAGGCGACGCGTGAAGTTGGCGAATATTGTTTCATGAATATGCAAAGAAGCCACAAGAAAGACATGTTGATGCTAATGATCGATAAGAAGATGCACTCTGTTTACACGACTACAAAAAAAGATTCATGAAACCTAAAGAAGTATCGGCTAATCGACGTAGCTACTATTTGCTATGTATACTTGGTGATTGTGATCGATTGCAGATATTGGTACATATAGGCAGTGGTCAAGAAAAATAAGTCTGACACTCAGTGGGATATCGTGAAAGCAATACGCGGGACTGCAGAAAGAGTTGACTCTACCGCAATTGGACAGATCTGTCTGATGATGATTGTATGAGCGATTACTAACAGTGGCGTCAAAAGTTAATCTCAATAGAATGAGTCATGTGACCAAGCAACGCGTGCTTTGGACAAAAAGCTTCATGCATTTTGGAGTAAGCGTTAGTTTTTCTTTACCCGTTGTAAGACTACCAAACATGACTAGGTGCTCGTGTATTGTATGAAAAGATGAAGCTACCGAGAGATATGCAGAAGCGGAGGCGCAAGTTTGGCTGACAAATTTCTACTTGAGATCGGACAGCGGGATGCAGATTTTTCATATTCGACTACAACCACTGAGCACAAAAGCGCTCATCCAATACTCAAAGTAGGACGGTACGTAAACTGAATACGGTTGTGCAACGTTGTGAACATACCTCCAGACAAGTTTGTATAACCAAAGTGGGCAAATTTTGTCAACAAGTGCTTACACTGCAGCTCGCCAAGCTTTGCTGATGAGTCCCACGGTATTCTAAGAGGATTGGTTTTGAGTCAAGCAGAAATCGCAGTGTTGCCATTGCCGGTCAAGAGAATTAACATAATTTTGCCAGATAGAGAGGGTCAAATATGCGCTGTATGGGAAACGCGCTGTGAATCAAGGCAAACATGGCCACTGAAAGCACTTCATGTTGATGTCATACTATTCTGACCAGAATCATATTAACATGATGCTCGCTGCAGCATTTACTAGCAGTTAACTTACCCGTGACGAGAAGAAATGGGCCAGTAGACTGCAGCAACCATATATGCACGATCTTTGCGTTGTAGTATTTTCCCCACTCTCAAGTCATTCACTTGATAGTATACTCCATCTGTACATATCGACCTGAGGCAGTAGAATGTTGAGCATCATCATACTCGTCAGTAAGCATTCCATGAACAGCGGACCGTACAACAATCACGTACCATGAACGACTTGCTGTTCCCTTTACAGCAGAAACAGAATCACAAACAAGCAACCTTGCCACTTGGGAACCTCAAAACTGAAACATAGTGCTGCTTCTGAAGTCAGGTGACACGAAGATGCACCATTTGCTTCTAGTAGCTCATTCCTCCTGCAACCTGCCTTTCATCTTTTAACCAATATAGCAGAAACATCATCAAGTCAACAATTGGACCGCGAGCGAGATAATTTGCAGCTTGCAACTTTCGACATGGCAGTATCAATGATAAGTTCTCTGCTGTTGACGCTTTTGCTACCATACCTCAAACGGTATGACTGTAAAATTGGCATACAAGCTTTCGGGCATCCAGCAACGAAAAACATGGTTGTCACGACATCGTCGTCAGCTTTTTATATCGATGTGCTTTTTCTAGTAGCTAAAGGATGAATCACGTAAGGAATAGTAGTTTGCTCTTTGGTGTTAAGAAAGTGTCAACTTGGTGAACTTCTTTGAGGTTGCTTTGACGTTCAAATCGTAGCGATCTACGACTGAAACAACCTTCACCTTTGAGCTTTTATCAAACATACAATTCCCAAGTTCTTTCTAAACAGGAGCTTTTATTGGTACCAGTCAACTTTCAACGGGCCAGTTCCCCCAAAACGAACCAACCGAGTTGAGTAAGATCAATGGCTTTTCTTCCGTAAGTGTAGCAATCTCCCTCGGCCTTAGAAAAGAACAAATCTTCATCTGATGATTCGCGTCTTCTCGTGCCGATACTTGCGTATCAGCTGCAATGAGAACGACCACCCACTCTTTCGACGCTACTACGCCAGGTACGGCACTAAAAATATTGTATCGTAACGCCAAAAGCAGCCTGACAGTATTTTGTGGCTGTTAAGGAGCAATCGAGAACGTGGCGTCAAGGTGGGCCCTCCTTCGTGGTATGTCAACTTTTATTACAACTGACGTGTCCTGTGTCATCATCAGCTTTTGCGATGCTTCCCACATTGTTGTCCAGAGCACGTGCAGCGATGCTACTGCGGCACCTCAATCCACATACTAGTGACATTTACTTCTGCTGTACCAGCAGCTAGTCAAAAGAATATCGTGGTTTGCGCTCGCTTTGAACCTTCGAGAGTGGTCCCTTCTTGGCTAAATTTATTGGGTCTGTCCAATTGTGAGGGAACAGACGATGAGAACCAGCGCAAGCTTCAACCAGGTGAAGTTGTCTCATTGCCGGAGAGCGTCTTGCTAGCTGAAAAGTGCACGACCAAAGAAACGGTGTGGATTCGAGCGGACAGAGAAGGAAATACGAAGCAAAAATATGAGGTTCGTCATTCGTCATTCGTTCTCTGTATTTTATTAGGACCATCGGTATTGATTAGTACTCTTTGTCTTAACGTCCTTGTTTTGTTTGAATATAACGAACGACATCAATGGGTGGGATGAAAACCTTGCATTGCATTTAACGCCGAAGGACGCTGTCCTGTTTGTGCTCAACAACCACAAATTTCCGAAGTGGCTCTACAGCTACAACAGTAATATTACAAGAAGACAGCGAGAGATGACACATCACCTGGCTGCGTATGTCTTTCAGCTTACGGGCACAAAGTCGAAGCCTAGCGAGATAGATGCGACTGTACTTGCGCGCCACGAGTCACCTGGGTTTTCGCTTGTGTCTTATCGGCGCTCAGGCAGCAATTCTCGAGACGCTGGGTGTGACTTGCCGGCAATCGGTGTGGCAAATAGCAACAAGTTTGCAACCGTCGAGATTAATACGCCTACTGTATTTTCATCAGATGATTTGAAAAGGGATTTGGCTGGTCGGCTGACTTTCAAACCGTCGTATGAGAAGATGAATACCAATAATGCGGACACAGACCACAGGCAATTCCAATTTTCACGTAATCATAAGCGCTTGAAACACGAAGAAAAACAGCAGCACAAGATGCAGCCCGAAGCTAAAGGAAACTCGGATTCTTCATTTTTCGAGACGACCAAAGACACTTATTCATGGCAGCATGGTACCCAAGCCAGAAATTGTCGATTTCGAGAAAAAGGCCAGCATTTACTCATTCTATGGAGCTTCTTTCAAAGTCTGTCACTGAGCGACCTCAACATTTCGTTAAAGTTGAAAAGTGAACATATATGCTCCCATTGGTTAAGGGCAGCAGCTATCCGACGATCGCCATCGCCAAGCTCGAGCCATCAGCTCAAGGCTATCGTGGCATCTTTCCTGAATGGAATTTTTGAACAAGCCTATGCTCAACCTGGCATCAAGTCGACAACGATTTTGCCTTTTACTAGAGAAAGTAGTACTATTCAAGTGACCGCGCTTCTATTTCTACGGACACTGTCGTCTCAATCTGTTCACCGTCTTTTGCATTCCTCATGTTCATTCGACAACGCTGAGTTAAGCAAATCAGAGCTCCAAATTCGATTTGTCCTGCTGATTTCGGATTTATACGATGCCGTCGGCGTCGCATTGCAAGAAGTGAGTGCACCGATGGCTGGCTTGACGCGACGGCATCAGATTCCTTTGCTGCCGGCGTTAGTTGACGATGTGCTATCACTTGTGTATAGTCGACCGCGTTTGCGCCAACTTCGATCTCGAATTTCGGCACTCCTTCTTGTCCAGCAAACATCGTTGTCCGAGGGTCTGAGCGGTGTGTTTCAGACGTTTACAGCTTTGGTGCGAGAGAGACTGATCGTGTCTGCTACTCGATACAGGATATCCACACAATTCCAGTATCCTATTCCGAGAACCAGTATACAGGAACTATGGAATCAGTGTTGGTTGCTGGATCCTCGATCGATGAATGTTGTCGACGTATCAAGGAGTGGTTGTCGTCATGATATGCGGCTAGTTGATATTGTACAGCTGTTGTTTGAGTTCGGTTGCGTGGATGTCACCATCACCGACAACTCAATGTCGTTGCAATCGGCCTTTTCGGTTTTAGGTGATACAGCGGTTGCTCCAATGACGTTAGTGCTGGACGGAAAATTCCGTTTGTTTCGTGTTTTGCCCAGTGGCATGTCATCTATGATTGCAACAGCAGGGAGTTGGTCGATTGGCGATTACACGGCTATGTTTTCAGGAGCAGAAAACTCATTGATAGTAAACCTCTTTAGCTTTGCTCAACAAGAGACGGGGGGGTTTGCCCATCATACCGTGGACCTTCCAGATTTAAAATCGTATCTGTATGCGGGTGTGATACGCCTGCGACGAGTTTGCATTTCGATACGACTAGCGCAAAAGTTGAATAACGACGGAGTCAACCCGACGCATTTGTGTGCTGTCGTGCACGGAACCACCTATAATTCGGCATACTCGTCACAAAGCCAACGGGTGGATATGCTCAGGTTTTCAGAGAGGACAGTTCTTGAACGGGCTGCGATCTGGAACGAAGCCAAATGGGAGCCATTATGCGAGTTCCAAGCGGAATGTATTCCATTCCCAACCAAAAACAAACCCTCGCAGAGGGTTTGTTTTTTGGTTCGTCTTGAGATGATTTGTTTGTCCACGATTCACTCATTACAGCCAAGTATAAAGATCAAGACATTTGAAATTGACCGCTTGGTTTGAATGCTATCTTTACAAGTTCTCTAACCTACGAAGCTGCATTTGAAAGCGTAGAGTGATTGACGTAGAATGAACAAGTTAAAGACAGCAAATTAATGTTAAAGGTTATTAGAGCAAACTAACGCAGTCTGAATAGTGCTTGGACGTCAAAAGCCATTAAGCTCTTATTCATGCAAGACATTGTTACATAACTACAGGAAGAGTGTACAATGCACATGAACACTTCTTTTGTGTGCATCGAGTCACCTAGTATTTGATAGTCGTGTAGGATAGGGATATTAAATGCTACAGGTTTTTCTATGCTCATGCTAGTGTTCCTATCTGATCATGACGTGAGATATGAGCAATCTTTTTGTGTGATACCTTCATATAGCAATATATATATCGGACTAAATACAAACAGAATTTCTAAAATATATAGCAATATATGTCAGACTACATATAAAAACAGAATTTTCAAATTTATCAACGAAGAGTAGATGTAAAGTGAGGTTACTGATGCAAATGATACAATAAAATATTGACAAAGCTCCAACGATTCTTGTAACGGAGGTTACACGAAGGTGGTATTTTACATACACACCTGCCACGCCAATGTGGTGTAGCTGTACCTTGGGTACAAAGGGGGACCGTAACTGAAGTACGAAGGGTCACATCGTGGCAGAAAGCCACGTGGTCACTATAAAGTATAGTGACTATGCATGTTTGCATAATAATGACAGGCTATAGAGCCAGTAAATAGTGACCAGCACTAAGTATAGTGTAGGTTCTCCTATATTTAGTGCTAGAAGATAAACATAAATATAAATCAGTTTCAAACCTGCTCTGTAAGCCTTACAGCTTGAGCATTCTATTCCTTCTAAGGAATCAGTATCTTTGATACTAGTCTCTCCGAGATTCGGTTGTAAATACCGATTACGAGCTAGCCTAGGAGGGTTAAACACCGTAAGACGTAGAGCTCTCTGAGCTTGTCTTCCTCTGCACATAGTGCATACGTAGCTTTGCTACAGTAGTCCGGCAAAGAAGGTGACAACCTTATGCTTTGGTTCCGACAGGTTGAGTCGGCTATGTTTATAGCCGACATCACCTATGAACCGTACCGTGTGGGATTTGCCACGGGCAAGTTAGGTGGTTTAGACAAACAGTGGGCATTCACATGTGGTGCATCATTGCAAGATGCTTTTCCTACATGGGCCGATCTGAAAGTTCAGATGACCCGGCAGCATGCACCGCCAGACAAGCACACCGTAACCGGTCGCGATTTATGGCGTGTCGCCAAGGCAAGCGTGAGCTTGCGGCATATGTACAAGAGTTGAGACCTCTCATTGCTGCCATGGTCATAGACCCTATGCCTGAGGCAGTGACCGTCACGGTCTTCATGGAGGGTATCCAAGTTGGCGTTTCCAGAACGGAAGTCTTCCGGGTAAACCCGTCCTCATTCGAGGAAGCTGTTGTAGTGGCATGGAATGCCAAGACCAACTTTAAGGTCGCTTAGGCCTGACACTTATAACTACTCGTCTGATGGGTCTGTACCCACGTACTGTAGTCAAGTGGAGGATGCAGAAGCTGAGCTTTATGCTGCGGAGCAGCAAATTGTGCGAAGATGTTATATCTGCAAGAGCATAGCCATTTGATGGCAAAAATGCCCTGCAAAAAAGGTATATTTGGCCTCAAAGGGCCGACGCCCCATGAGTAAACCTTCTGGTTTGCCGCGGGGAAACGGCGGAACCCAGTAGGCGTGGGGCTTCCTACTGGGGAAGAACTGAGTTCTGTTGAGCCTCTAGGAGGTAGAAGCAAACAAGGCCTAGCCCCAAAGAGCTCTGAACTCTCAAAAATGGAACGAGAATGCAAGTCAGGCTTGCTAGTCGTCGAAGGGATGATTGAGGGCTATAATAAGCCATGGATCATTTTGATCGATTCGGGGGCATCGGGCAATTATGTGCGCCGTGCCACCGTGGAAGGTAGTCAGCAGTATGCTGGAGCGCTTGTAGCGCGTGAGAGTGACACAGTCACAGTTCGCTTAGCGACAGTTACGCGTGTTAGGGTACCCCAAGTCTCGATGGACTTAAATGTAAAGTTCTTGGACTTTAACAGCATGTAACGCTGTTTGGTCTTAGACCTGGATGCAAGGTATGACCTCATCATAGGCATGGCATGGCTAGAACGTCATAAGTCATGGATTGATTGGAGGTCGAAGACCTGAGGCGCAACGCGCAATGCTCCTGGTGGGGCTCTGGAGAGCCATGAACCCACCTCTGCTAGGAAGCAAAAGCGCTTATGGCGCGGATATTGGACCGAGTCGGTCAATATGTTGGATGTCGGAATATCCGACTTTGTAGACACTGTAAGTGTCGAAGACAATTGTCCTGGGCGAGGCCCAATGACTGTCGATAGTGTGGTTGAGAACCCACTAGATGGCACATATGACATGTGTCATGAGAATGATGTTACATCATTAAACACCGTGAGTGGTGTTGGTGGCTGCAAGCCAAGATGTCATGACATGAGTCCAAGTGACATAAGTGACGAGGAAATGACCCTGTAGGGCCGAACGAAGTCACAAATGGATGTTGTTTTTGAGGACAACAAGGTGCATGCACCTAACGACAGGTACTGGCCCAAGAGGGTCGGGTGAAGTCAAAAATGACGGTTGCCTTTGAGGACAACGAGGTGCGAACACCTCATGACGAGATATTTACCCAAGAGGGTGGGTGCAGTCAATTCACCAAGTGGTATTTGACCTTGAGGTGTGTAAATCTGTAGACGCTGATGCGTCGGATGCTGAGAGCATCATGAGTAGCGATGATAGTATCGTGAGTGACGGTGATAGCGAACAGCTACATATACTCGTCAATGGTTTGACTGGGGATGTTGAAGAGCCGGTGGCTCTTTCAGCAATACCCACAGTAAGTGCTCTGTTAGAGCTGAACGAGTTGTCCTTTGCCGAGTTTGGTATTGCCTTACAGACAGGCGACATCGCCGAAGTGGTCGTTATACGACCTGAGGAGTCAAGCTCCTCATCGCTTTTGGATGAAGCCGTTCTTGAGGATACCAAGAAGGCGCTGAATGAGCGTAGTGAATCAAAGATCCTGAAGGACCCTTCGGATCCTTATTATCCTTTGTTGAAGGAATATGAAGATGTTGTCTTCAGAGAACCTCCTACGAGGTTACCTCCAGATAGAGGTGTACGTCATCAGTTTGACTTAGTTCTAGGAATCAAATACTGTGTGACACGACAGTGGCCGCTTCCACGAGAACAGTGTAACGTCATTGACGAGTTCTTTCGTGCAAAGCACGCGGCTGGCATGGAGCGTGAGAGTAAGGAGGCATACTCTCACGCCCACGTTTTGTGAAAAAGCTTAATGGGAAGTGGCGAATAGTGAATGCTTACAATAAGCTGAATGCAGCCACTATCCCGGCTCAAACACCAATCCCTCGCAAGGATGTTCTTCAGAACAATATGGTGGGATGTACAATGTACAATGCCCTCGACTTAGTCGATGGATATTACCAACTGCTCATGCGAGCTAGTGATATCCCGCTGACATCGGTCAGCACTCCGAGCGGTATGCTCTGGGAGTGGTTAGTGATGCCTCAAGGCTGTCAAACGCACCTGCAACGTTTAATTGTCTAGTGACGCAGTTGTTTGGCCCCATACGGCGCATGCACAGACATACTTGGCCGATATGTTCGTTCATAGTCGAGCCGAAAATGGCAAGACTGATGTGGAGAACCACATCAAGCACCTGCGAGCTGTGCTCGGTTGCATGAGGATTCATATTTTGTATGCCAATATTGACAAATGCATCTACGGTGCGGAAGAGATTCCCTTTTTGGGATGCTTCATTGGGAAGCGAGGAGTCCGGGCAGACTCTGTTAAGGTCAAAGCCATAATGGATTGGCCGGTTTCGAGAAACCAGAAGGACCTCCGCAAGTGGTTGGGTTGGGCAAATTACTCCCACAAGTACAGCCACAACTATGCGGAAGTGGCTAGGCCATTGTCTAATCTTTTTAAAAAGGATGTGGAATGGTGTTGAAACACCGAGCACCACGAGGCTTTTGAAGCCATTAAGGAGAGTCCCCTTCAGGCGCCAATTCTGTATCTAACTGATCCTGATCGTCCGTTTAGCGTTTGTATGTGACGCTTCGGACTTTGCCATTATTAGTGCACCTTTGCAAGTTGACGCTGAGGCTCGAGAACGCGTCATCGCGTTTGAGTCTCGTCTGCTGAAAGCTGCAGAGAAGAACTCTCCAGTTCATGACAAGGAGCTACTTGCAATGCCCTTGTTAAGGTCAGGGTACACCTGTTGGGCTCAAAGCCGTTTGTGATCTAAACCAATCATACGTCGTTACGCACAGCGACACAGTAGCCTCATCCCTCGCAGAGAATGGCTCGTTGGCTCTCCTTAATCGCGGAGTATAACTTCGGGGTGAAGTATAAGCCGGGAAAACAGAATGTTTTTGGCTGACGCGTTATTGCGTCGACCTGACTATGAGCTTGCTTATCTCACTGTTGTGAGTTCGTCAGTAACGGATCGTATCTGTGTGACGTATGCACGCGATGAGGCATGTGGTTCCATTCTGCAGGCGCTAGGTAGAGCAAGTTTGAACGCTCTAAGGTGAAGTTGTCACCACGTAATCGTGCGAGATTACATCGTTATGCACTGAACGATGGTCTGTTGTACTATATTACGGGGTTAGATGACCAGCCTCAAGTTGTGGTGCCTCATGATGAGGACCTCAAGTATCAGATACTTTATGAGGCTCATGATACACCACTTGGCGGTCATTTAGGTCGTGAAAAGACCTACAGCTCGGTGAGCACGCATTATTGGTGGCCCAAGTTGTACAAATGGGTTGGTATATACGTTCGCACGTGTGAAACGTGTCAAAGGGTGAAACCCTCGCCTGATATGGCTGCGTCTTTGGCGAGTTTGCCTGTACCCTCGGGTTTCTGGCAGTCCATTAGTATGGACTTTGTGTTTGGCCTACCGCGTGATGCG